TGAAGGATAATCATAAAAAATAAATTAGTGTAGCCTAAGTGTACAGTGTTTAAGTTTACAGTAGTGTTCAGTAATGTCCTAGCTCTTCACATTCACTCACCACTTATCCCCTCACCAGAGAATTTCCAGTCCTGCAAGTTTCATTCATGGACAGTGCCCTGTACAGATGTACCATTTTTAATCTGGTATTCGGTATTTTTACTGTAATTTTTCTATGTTTAGATATGTTTAGGTAAACAAATACCTACCATTGTATTAAAATTACCTGCAACATTCAGTACAGTAACATGCTATATAGGTTTGTAGTACAGGAGTCACAGGCTATACCATATAACCTAGATGTATGGTAGGCATTACCATCTAGGTTTGTGTAAGTATATCCTATGATGTTTGCCCAATGACGAAATTGCCTAATGATGCATTTCTTAGCACATATCTCTCTCATTATACATGATGGAACATATACTATTAGCGATAAGCACCAAGGAGAAAAATAAAGCGGGATGGGGCAAAAGCGATTTTAAATTTCAAATAGTATGGTTAGGGAGTCCGTTAAAAGGTAGCATTTGTGTGAAGACCTGAAGGAGACAAGAGGGTGAGGATATTTTTGTAAGAACATTTACTAGGCATAGCTAATGAAAAGACGGTGAGACAAAAACATACCTAGCATCCTTAGAGAACAACAGAAGAGGCCAGTGGAGCTGATGTAGAGTGCATGAGGGACAGAGTGAATGAAGGAGAGTACATGAAGGAGGGGGTGAAGCCATAGAAAGTAATGGGGATACATCTTTGATATAGGTATATGCCCTTTCTAAGGACTGTGGCTTTTGCCCTCAGTGAGATAGGGAGTCATTTGAGGGCTCTAAACTGTTGACTTCTATATAACACTCCCACATTGACTGCTAGATGAGAATAGGCTGCGAAAATATTACCTTAGTAATTTAAATACTCTAATAAAGAAAACAAGCATAAGAAACATATATAGATTCTAATGTCACGTCCCTCCTCAAGAATCCACAGTGGTTCTGTGCTACCTATTGTGTTGGCTTAACTGTTTTTTTTTTTTTTTTTTT